ATAAATAAATAAATAAATAAGTAAATTCCAGGTGAGAAGGTTTCAAATTGATCGCGAAAGGTATTTTGAGATTTGTTTGCTTTATTTCGTTAAAAGGGATAATGAGAATACTAGTCCCTCATCGCCTTAAACGAAATGGGGGGAATACATCTCATATAATTGGTAATCTCGAAATTCGACTGATATACGAAAATTAAGTAGTGTATACGATTGTTATAGCAACAATACGTTTACTTAATCGACAATTCCACCAAAGAATGTGATATCAGAAAAGGCATGGCCTTCCTTAAAGCCGACCTCTGCCCTCTGACCAAAGGGCACTCGTGGCAATGTGGTCGAGTGGTTAACGTGTCAAGTTCCCATTCTGCACTGTCACAGTTCGACTCCCGCTGGTGGTGTTGATGAGACCGATGCGAGATCAAAAATGCCGTCCACTTCCGCCGGGATGAGAACAACTTTTGTGAAAGTAAGGCAATGCGAAATTTAATGGAAACGTCCACTACCAGTCCTTCATCAGCTTAAGCGAATTTGGATGAATACATCTCATATTACTTATTTACTGGTAGTCTCGAAACTATACTAAAACTGAAAATAAGGTGACTGGTAGTCGAGTTTTCCGGCAATCATTTGAGTATACCATAAGTTTCCACTGGATATCGCAAACAATTGCTTTTGTAAAAGCTATTTTTCTTAAGGCCGAAGTCGATTGCAGTTTCTACCTCGCCTGAATTTCTCGCATCAGCACCTCCAGCGGGACTCGAGCCCGAGTTGTGGCAGCCCAGCTCCATTTCAACACGTCCACCACTCCTCCACAATGCCATAAGTTCAATTGGGTCACAGGGAATCTGTGAATTTCGAGAAAGGCCAGGCGGTTTGATGTATCACATTTTCTTGTGGGATTTGTTTATTTTGTAAATAAAATTATTTTGAGTGACGAAATCGAGTTAGTAGTAAGCTTCACACGACAAGATGTGAATTTCACACAGACTGGCCTCGCGACATAACTCCTCCCTCCTCTCGATCGGATTACCAGCTTCAGCCTCGCCTCGGCCCGACGGGATAAGTGAAGTGGTAATTGGTCATACAACCACAGGCGACAGACGACAGTTGACATTTAGACGT